GTCCATCAACAGATAAATGGGTAAACAAAATATGGTATATATAATGGAATATTATTCACCCTTAAAGAGAAGGAGATCCTGGCGTATCCTACAACATGGATGAACTTAAGAACATTATACCAAGTGGAATAAGCCTGTCACAAAGAGATAAATACTGCGTGATCCCACTTGAGCTATCTAGTCAAATTCATAGAAACAGAGAGTAGAATGGTAGTTACCAGGGGCTGGGGGAGTTGTTAACCAGTATAGTTTCAGTTTGTCACAATGAAAAAATTCTGAAGATCTGTTTCACAACAATGTGAATGTACATAACACTACTGAATTGTATACTTAAAAATGGTTAAGATGGTAAATTTTATAGTTTTTTTGCCACAATAAAAATTGCAAAAAAGAGTTTAAAAATTATCACCAGTTTTCTTCATAAATACAGATGCAAAATACTAATAAACTGAATACAGGAGCATATAAAAAAAGGATTATACCCCATGACTAAGGTTAGTTCAACATAGGAAAATTAATCAGTGGTAATACAGCATATTAATAAAGGGATGAAAAATCACATCATCTCAGTAGACAAAGAGAAAGCATTTGACAAAATCCAACATTCTTTTTTGGTAAGAACACTTAACAAATTAGGAATGGAAGGGAACTTCCTCAACCTGATGAAAGGCATCTACAGAAAATCCACAGCTATCATCACAATTAATGGTAAAAGACTGAAAGCTTTTCCCCTAAGATCAGGAACAAGACAAGGACGTCTGCTCTCACCACTTCTAGTCAACATTGTACTGGAGGTTCTAGGTAGAACACTTAGACAGGAAATTAAAGGCATTCAGACTGGAAAAGAAGTAAAAGTATTACTATGTACAGATGGCAGAATCTTGTAGATAGAAAACCTTAGGAATCCGCAGAAAAACTATTATAGCTAATAAACAAGTTCAGCAAGGTTGCAGGATACAAGACTCAGGAATAAACTTGGAATGGACAATGTAAAAATGAAATTAAGAAAGTAATTCCATTTACAATAGCATCAAAAAGAATAAAATACATAGGACTATATTTAACTAAAAAAAGCATTAGATTTGTACACAGAAAACTACAAAACGTTAAAATAAATAAATGGAATATATCCCATGTTCATGGGTTGGAAGACAATATTTTTAAAATGGCCATCCTGCCCAAATTGCTGTTCAGATTCAATGAAAACCCTAACCAAAATTCTAACTGCCTTTTCTTTACAGAAATTGACAGGCAGATCCTAAAAGTCTTATAGCAATCCAAGGAGTCTGGAATAGTCAAAACAATCTTGAGAAAGAACAGCAAAGTTGGAAGACTCAAAGTCCCAATTTCAAAACTTCCTTCAAAGCTAAAGCAATCAAGACAGTGTGATACTGGCATAAGGGTAGACATGTAGAACAGTGAAAGAGAATTAAGAGTCATAAATAAACCCATACATCTATGATGAATTTACTGTTGACATGGGGGCCAAGATAATTCAAGGGGAAAGAATAGTCTTTTCAATAAATGGTGCTAGAACCACCACATACCCACATTCAAAAAATGAAGTATCCCTACCTTATACTATATACAAAAATTAATTCAAAATGGATCAAATACCTAAATGTAACAGCCAAAACTATAAAACTCTTAGAAGAAAGCATAGGAATAAATTTTCATGACCTTGGATTTGGCAGTGAATTCTTAGAAATAATACCATCAGCACAAGCATCAAAAGAAAAAAATAAGATTTTATCAAAATTTAAAACTTTAGTACATCAAAGGACACTATCAAGAAAGTGAAAAGGCAACCTACAGAATGGGAGAAAATATTTTCAAGTCACATACCTAATAAGCCTTTGGTCTCGAGAATATATAAAGAACTCTTACTTTTAAAGTGGGCAAAGGATTTGAATAGACATTTCACTAAAGAAGAAATACAGATGGCCAATGAGCACATGAAAAGATGCTCAACATCATTGTCATTACGGCTATGCAAATCAAAATCACAAGATACCACTTAAATTTTTTTAAAAGGGAAAGTAGCAAATGTTGGGTAGGATGTGGATTGGAACCCTCATGCATGCTGGTAGGAAGGTAAAGTGGTGCAGCCACTATGGGAAACAGCTTGGCAGTTCCTCAAAAAGTTAAACGTAAAATTACCACATGACCCAACAATTCCACTCCTAAATATATATACCCAAGAGAATTGAAAACATGTTTGCACAAAATCTTGTACATGAGTGTTCATCATTATGTACATTATTCCTAATAGCCAAAAAGTGAAAACAACCCAAATGTCCACCAACCAATGAATAAACAAAATGTAATTGGAATATTATCCAGTTATAAACTGGAATGAAATACTGATACATGCTACAACATGTACAACATGAATGAATGTGGAAAACATTCTGCTAAGTGAAAGAAGCTGGACACAGAAGGCCACAGTATGATTCCATTTGTATGAAATAGCTAGAGTAGGCAATTCCATAGACACAGAAAGTAGATTAGTGGTTGTCAGGGGCTGGGGAGAGGGCAGAATGAGTAATGAGTGCTGTGAGTATGGAGTTTCTGTATGGGGTGATGAAAATGTCCTGGAATTAGATAGTAGTAATGGTTGCAAAGCCTCGTGAACATACTGAAAACTACTGAATTGTACACTTTAAATGGTAACTCTTATGATCTTTCAACTGTATTTCAATTTTTAAAAAGTCAGTCAAGCTTGACAGTTGCTTTAGCTGGTGGAGATACTAACCATACCATTCTGAAGATGAGAGGAAAAACACATTGTAAGGGGTTTGCATTTTTAAAATAAAAATCAAACAAACAGAAACAAAAAACTCAATAATCATTATAATAAGAACTAGAATTTGTTGAATTGTATCCTAGAACAGGAAACCCATCTAACTTGCGACATGGACCCTATCTGATTTCAGATCTAGTTTTTAACTCTGGTAAAACAAAGGGATAAAGAGCAGAGAAGCCTCTAGGATAGCCACCTTAGAAGCAGAAAGGGGCCTTTTTTGAACTGTTCCTTTTCTGGCCTGAGGTGGAAGGAACAGGTTGGAAGGCAAGGGAATTGTGCCGTGAAAGGGAAAGGTAACATACTTGAAAGACAAAACAAATCTTCTTCCATATAATATTTCTTCAGATATACCCGTGCGCCTGAAAGGTCGACTCCCTCAGGGCAGCTGGGCAGAGCCTGGGCTGCACTGCACATCTGCCACAGGCCGCAGTCAGCTCCCAGCCCCGTGCGTAGCACAGATGTTGCCATTCTCCGTGTTAGGAAATGAAACGGGAGGGGAGAAGCACTGCCCGTAGGGGCCTCTCTTTAATGTTCTCCCCCACCTCTTCCTCCTCTTCTACTGAGCACTGTTAGTTGTCATTTCCCCTCTTAAAATGTGTCACTTACTTTTCAGAGGTCTGTGTCAGAATTCCCAGGTGTATCTAGCTAGAAAATAACAGTTAATTTGGTATAATTACAAATTTTCTATAGAGAGAGAATGCAAAATTGTTATATTTTTATTTTCTAAGTAGTTACAGATCAAATATTAAATAATCCAGGCCGGAATTTTGTTAGAGATTGATATCAAACTTTACTGAATTATAAATTCCAGAAACAAACCTTTGCCTAGTTTTTAAAATCTTAACTCTTCTGACACCTCTGTAATTATTAATACTTTCTGAGGGATGTTGAGTAATGATGCCATGGTCGTTTCTGCAGTTTGTTTCAACAACCTGAGGTTTCTCTGCAGATGAGAATACACTTAGAAGGTCTTCCGTTACCCTCACATTACTCTCTAACTTAACTGGGACCTATAAAATGTGCTGACAATTCTTTATAAGCTGTTTGGAGCAAGAAAATAGGAAACCTTGGTGTAGTTGAGATGATGAGAACAGAAAACAGAAGATCTATGCATATATTTATCCCTTCGTTTTCATGGTGTCGAATGTCAGTCTTCCCGTTTGAATGGGTAGAGTATCTTTTGCTTCAGATGTAACCTTTAACTTCTGTTTTCTTTTAATGGATACTTTACCATCTGAATTGTGACCAAGTATCATTTGTAGATTTGTTTTTGTTGGTCTTTGCTAGGAATACATTTGCTAGGAAATACATATTGACTGGATAGTTCTACTTTTGATTTAATGAATTTAAGAACATTTCCAAATTATTGACCTAATTTCCTATACTTATAAGTAGAAGTAATACTTAATATGTTTAAAAGATTAAATTACTGGTTTTTGTTTTAGTATTGATAACTTTTTAGGTTTGGGGATATAATTTTGTTTCACAATTGGTTTGTGTTTATCATACCTACAATCTCATTTTTACTCATTTTCAGTTTGGGTGTCCATTCTGGATTGGTTCTTATATTTAGTGATGTTCAGGCTTATACTGTGAATTAGTGCTTTTAATGAAATGAGAAAAATCAAGGCATATGGAATGTTGTCTTGCCAGTAAAGTACCGCCACAGCCCATCAGACACCACTGGGTGTGTTTCTTCCCAACCAAAAGTCCCTTCTATATGACTTTAGTTGCTGGGGATGTTGTGGCCTAACTGGCCTCTCTCTATTGAACTCTAGGGCTCCTTAGAGCCCCATTTGAAATCGTTTCTGTTTTTTGAAATATTTAAAAGTTATGAGACTTTTTTTTTAATGTCCCTAATGCTTTCAGAAATAACATTATATAATAAAATATTTTATGTGCTTTTTATGACCTCTTTTTTATTTTCAGTTAAACTCATGATGTGTTCTTTACCAAAATGTCTAAAGGTATGCAATTGTCTATTTGCCAGGATTTTCCTAGTACATTCTTGAAGAATATCATGTAAGTATCCAAGAATTAGGAACATTTTTACTCACAAGTTACTAAAGAACTGTAAATTGAAACATTTTCAGAATACATTTTGAAAATACTCAAAATGATGGTAGAAATGACACCTGCATTTTCATTAAAAGCAAGGTAGAATATTTTAATTAGTAATCTCTATTTCCCTTAGGGTTTAATGAAGAAATTCATTCGGTGTTCTACACGTGTAACTGTGGGAACTATTAAAAAATTTCTAAGTTTAAAACTAAAACTTCCAAGTTCTTATGAGGTAAGTTAATAATCTAACCTTAATCATTTTGATAATTCTGATCTCAAGTAAAATTCTAACAAAAGAAGTAAAAATTAACTGAGAATATATTTTAAATTAATTTTTGTGGAAACTGGTTATTTCCATGTTAAAAATTTAATTTTTAGAATGTAATATTCTATTTATGTAATCTGCATTTTCAAATTTAACATCTTGACTAAAACATGATACTAATGCATTTAGTGTTTTATAATTAGAGGAGATATTTAAATAACTTACCATTAAGTATTCTCAAAATAAGAATCCCACCTAAATGGATTCTTTTTTATTTATTTTTTTATTTTTTTAAATATGAACATTTTTTTTTTTTTTTAAAGATTTTATTTTTTCCTTTTTCTCCCCAAAGCCCCCCGGTACATAGTTGTGTATTCTTCGTTGTGGGTTCTTCTAGTTGTGGCATGTGGGACGCTGCCTCAGCGTGGTCTTATGAGCAGTGCCATGTCCACGCCCAGGATTCAAACTAACGAAACACTGGGCCGCCTGCAGCGGAGTGCGCGAACCCAACCACTCGGCCACGGGGCCAGCCCCTATTCTTTTTTATTTTTAATGCCAGCATACTTTAGAGTGTGTCCTTTTTCTTTTTATGTGAGACCTTTGAGATCCATTTTTCCCAGTTCTTTATAGACTTCCTTTTCAGTGTAAAATAGTCTTTTTATCAAAAAGAATTTCATAAATAGTGTTCCTTTAGTTCCGTGACATGCAAAAGTAATATTATTTATCACTAGGTAAAAACTACATACTGTATCTGCATAAACAGAATTTACAAGTTTCTGTACAGGAGAGAGAAATTGCCCTGATGCTGATCACTACACAGCTTGTAAAGTGTTCAATGTTTAGAGAATGTTTGTGATCCTAGGAGTATGGCTGTCACATGAGGCGGAAACGTGGCTACTGTTTCTCACCTGCCCAAATGGCAGTCTTACAACTGCATCAATTTCTTCTTCCTCCCCCTTGGGTTCCAGTAGTAGCATCTAAAAAAACTAAAGACCAAGGGTAGTTTCCTAAATAAATGAAGACATCAAAGGCAACATAGTTTTTCAGGCTTAATATGAACAGTTATCATAGATAAGATAGGATTTGAACATAGGCATTGATGGGTATTAAATCTATATTTTGAGAAAGCCTCTGATCCTGAACTTACTTAAAAATTTCTCTCAGATGACTAATCCGTGAATTAAAAATTCTTATTATGGTTTGGTCCCACAAATTTAAAAAATTTCCAGAGATGGCAACTTTTATTTTAGGAAAAAAATGGTGAAAGTTAATCAAAGCCCTATATACTTGGTAAAAGTAAAGGATAATAACAATTTATACATTCAACAACAGTGAAAATGGAAAATGAAATTGTTCTTATGATTTGGTTTTGCGCTTTATTCTGTTCTTGCAAAGAGCCACACCAGTTTTATTTCCTTTTAAGTGTGACTCATTGAGTTATTTTCTGGTTTTCAGGAAGTTGTTAGAGGTGAGAGAACTATTGCTCTCAGATAGTCTTACTGCTGGCACATATTATATTTCTCTACAGAAAAAGACGGAGGGGAAGGGACTCAATGCACAGACATCTCCTTATCTGTCCCAGTGCAGAGGACTTTCCCTATGATGCTGAGTAGTAATTACTGATACCCCCTTATTTTGATGCCCAACATTTAGGCGGGTGATTTGATGAAACACTTGACACCTGAAGCTTCTGTAACAGCATTGCTTATTTGGGCAGGGTAGTTCAGTTTTAAGTGACAATAATAGAAGCAGTATACCTGATTAGAAATTAATCCTAGGGTAAGTCTCTTTTACTTCTTTGCTTGTGAATTTATTTTACAGGCAAGATAAAGAAAATAAAATTGTCTGCTGGGGCTGGCCCCGTGGCCAAGTGGTTAGGTTCACGCGATCCACTTCGGTGGCCCAGGGTTTCACCGGTTCACATCCCGGGCACAGACATGGCACTGCTTGTCAGACCACGTTGAGGCGGCATCCCACATGTCACAGCTAGAAGGACCCACAACTAAAATATACAATTATGTACTGAGGGGATTTGGGGAGAAAAAGCAGAAAAAAAATTTATCTGCTTTGTGCTTTTAAAAATAAAATGTCTGAAAAACATTTTGAGGTCCATATGAATCATCAAAAAATCAATATAATTTAGCTAGTAATTTGTCTAAATTTAAAGCCCATTCTTCTTCCCCCTTTCAACACTTTAGATTAAATCCTATTGGTTTGCATTTCAAGCCAAAATGTTGATTTATAGGGATCTATGATAAACATTTGTTTAATTATGCTTTGTTGAATTAGTACATCATAGCAAATCATAGCCACAGTTCCTGTGGCCTTCTTAAGGATTTGGGGGGTTATTTGGTTCCTGCAGCTCTAGAGCAAAAGTGAGCATTGATAAAAAGAATCTTTTTTTAAAGTTCTATGCAAGGTGAGAAGAGGGTCCCATAAGTATCATGCAAGTCACCAACCAAGCAGAGCAGAGAGGCTGGAGAGCTCTGGGGCACACAGGCTGTGGCAGGGTTCTAGCTGTTCTGCCAACTTTACTATCAGTAATTACCGGAAATTCTCATAGGCCTCAAAGGCCCTCACGTTCATTTGTCCCTCTTTGAATACTAACTAATGAGGGGAAAGCAGCTCCTTCAAATCTTGGGAAGGTGAAAGGATTCTGAGAGGTGAACTCATAAGGCAAAGGTGCTGTGAGGAACTGTGAGGTTTCCACATGTTCTTCTCCTTCAGTAAGAGGCAGTCACAGAAATATGTCTGAAACCTCAAAGGTTGCACAGAGACATGGACTAAGAAAGGTTAGACTGCATTTCAGAATTATGTGTGTGAACTTGAGATATAGGTAATAGCTATGTGGGAGAAGACAAACAGGGCTTCATGTTACTTATAGCTGAATTGTTAATACTTACGGGATGGACCAGTGCTTTTAATAAAAATATTCAGTGTTCTTTTTAAATAATGGATAATACTTCTATTTTGTTATAACTATTTAAATCTTTTTTGAAATTTGAAAGAAAATGTATAAAACACTTATGAATTCAAAATTACATATGTTAATGGATCTGTAACTGTTCTTTTTAAAGTTGGATGTGCTGTGCAATGGTGAAATTATGGGGAAGGATCATACTATGGAATTCATCTACATGACGAGGTGGCGACTAAGAGGCGAAAACGTAAATTGCTTTTATACTTACCTATGTGTATATTCAGTTATATACCATTATGTTACTCAAATTTAACAGTATAACTTAGAAACTAGAAAAATAAACTGGCTTGGGAAAGAGAAGAAACTGGTTCCTCTTACTGTTTCTCCCAGCTACTCTATGATAATTGGTCCCAAGTGCAAGACCAAAGTCTGTGTTAAATGTGGTTTTGTTGTATTTAAGGTGAGTTTAAAACCCCATCTAAATATGTTCAGAACTCTACCAACCTCAAGACAGAAGATGACACTTCCATTTTTTTAAACACCACAAATATATGGGAACTTTTAAGTGTATGGAGTGGAGGTGGGAGACTAAGTCCTCTCCTGACTAATATATTTAATGGTTGATAAGATGTTATTTTTTGGTCATGGTAGAGGGGACAGGGTAGAATCTAGATAATCTTTTTTTCAGGTCAACCTCTTTACACTGAAAATATAAAATCGGACTAAAGGGTAAGTGAGTTTGCAGTGGTTTCTGATGCCAGAATTAGATTATTATGCCTTAGGCCCTAGACGATACGGAAGAAAAAATTAAAAGGAAAAAAACTAAGAAATCCAAAAAACCCAAAAGGAGAATTTTGTATTTCTAACCGTATCTTTGATAGGGGTTAATTAGAGGATTCAAACCTATCTTATCTGAGTTATATGTAACATTGTTATTAGGGAAATGTGAGGGGCTAGGGATTAGAAGGCTGAATACAGGAGTAAGGAATATAGTAGTAATACCTCCAGAAATTCTGTTCATAATCTGATTACATGAATAAACATTAATTAAGACTGACTAGAAGCTTGGGCCAGAAGACCTCCATGGTCCTTTCAGACGTTTAGATTCTGTGGTGTTTATGGTACAGTGTGTCATACTTTTAAACTCTGTGTAATTTTAACCTCTCTAAACTAGGTTTTATTACATGTTCTCATGAAAATATAAATTATTTTAAAAACCACAAAATTAAGATGTAACCTCAGACAAGCATAAATAATACGAAATCCAAATATAACGGGCATTGCCTTGTTACAATGGTTCAAAGACGTAGTTATATTGAATGTAAACATCTGTGGAACTACTATGAAACAGATCTCAAAAAATCATTGTTTATGTGTGTGCTTTTCAGTGGGTAGGAATTTGGCTATTTTTAGAAGAATGTCTTGATATGATATAATAATAGATGAAGCACCTAACTTCGTATGTGAGAATTTTTTTCTCCTTGAGTCCCACTCGAGTGAAGCCTTCCTGGGGAAGCTGAATTCTTAGGACCAGGAAGAAAACATTATGTTCTAGTATCTGCTACCAACTAGTTGTATGCCTTTGAAGAACTCATTCAACCTCTTTAGGGCTCTTCTTTTTTTTTTTTTTTAAATCTAATTGTCTTTGTGTTTGGTAAATTACTACTACTTGCCTTTCTTGGACACTTTATAGGTTTCTAAATGGTTGTACATACATCACCCTCATTTAATCCTTCCCACCAAAATGTTTCGGGTACTAGTTGCAGATTACGGAGGTAGTCAGTTCTCTCTTACCCAGCACTGTTTGGGCCTAGATATTGTGACTTTACACATAATATTACTGAAATAATTTTAGCTTTCTTTGACAGTTCATTGGGCATTTTGGTGTGTGTTAGTGCTTGAAACCATCGTTATGAATAGGTTTGCCTTAATGTTGAAGAGATGTAAATAGTCATCCGCTGCAAGACCTTGACTAGCACGTCCTTCACAAGATCCCTTCCCAAAGGTCGTTTACACTGCCAGTTTTTTAATGTCAAAGCATGCAAGAGCTAGTTCATAGAAATTGTTATTAACAGACTAGCAGTTAACTCAGTCTTTACTACAATTATGTTTCTGATTACACATTTCTGAATAGTTTAAATTCCTTGGTTTTTTAAGGCACTTTTTAAATAAAACTTGGTTTAAAAAATGGTTCAGTACCTTATGACTTTTTTTTTATTTCATTCAGGTAAAAACCAAAAAATAGAAAAATTACCTATTTTATATTTAGTGCAACAATAAAGTAATATATTAGCGTCTTTCATTTTTTTCAGTGACACATCTGTTTTTGTTTTTTCTCCTCCAAACATGTTTGTTTTCTCTCAGCCTTCACAATTTCAATAGTTGCAAGATTAGTAGTTCCATTTTTCCATTTTCTCAGACCAAAATCCTTGAGAGCAGTCCTGATTAGTTTATTTTTCTTAAATCCATCCGTAGCAAATTCTGTGGCCTCTGCCATCAAAGGGCCATACTCAGAATCCAGTTATGTCTCAACACCTCTACTTCTGCCACTCTGGTGCAGGCCACTGTCACCGTTCTCCAGAATTTCTACGAAAGTCTCCTGCCTGGGCTCCATGCTTCCACTCTTGCCGCCACCCGTCCCCCCTCCCCCATCCCATCTTCGCCCAGCGCAGCAGCCAGAGTGATCCTCTTAAAACGAGTTAGAACATGTCCCGTCTCTGCTCTGAACTCTCCAGTAACATAACACTTAGATAAAAGCCAAAGTCCTTCCAGGGACCTCTAGATACAGACCCCACACAGTTTTCCCCAGACGCCTGACTCTCTTCCTCTGGCCTCACTGGCCTCTGTTTCCTCTAATATGCCAGGCTTGCTCTTGCCTCCATAAGTATCCACCTAACTTGCTCCCTTTACCCCCTTCACTCAAAGAATTGTGCTTCTACACCACCTTCTCAATGAGTCCTCTGACTCCCTTAATATTACAACCCCTCTCCCAATCTGGCACTCTTAATCCCTTTTCATGCCTGTTTTCCTGCCCTGTTTGTACTGTTTTCCATAGTATTCCGTACCATCTGACGTACTGTGCCCCTCATTTATGTTTATTGTTTATCTCCCAACGAAAATGTAACGTGAGGGATTATTATTCACTGCTGAGTCTCCAGCACCTAGAGCAATGCCTAGTACAGATACTCAATAAATATTTGTTTGAAGAGTAAATTGAATGAAAGTTTTGTCTTTTATAAGGTGTTATGCAAACTAATCCTAAAGACCATTCCATTTATTTGAATCTCAATTTCTTATTTGTTTTCTGTTAAGCAAATTTTAAATTTTTGCTCATGTTCTGGCTAATTATGAAATTATAATATTAACTGATGAATTCTGACAGTTGGAGTGAATGGACAAATTAGCAATAAAACAATCATTTTTTGATTAAGCTCCTACTAGGGTGTTTCTTGCCATCACATCCCTTCCCATCTCTACCCTCCATTGCCAGCAAGACGCCAGGACGTCTGCAAAGCTCACATCACGCTACCTGCTGGCACTGCTGACTGGCTCTGCCTTGGGCTGGGTCAGCTTATTTCCTAAACTAATGACGACCTTGTGGTTCTTTCACTTGCTCCTAGTACTTTTTTATATTAATTATTTTAATCCACCTGGGATTTGTTTATTTACACACACATACCTACAATAAGACTGACTTATTCTAAGATTTTATTGAAAAACCCATACTTTACCTCATTGTTTTGAGATGTCACCATTCTCTATGCATATGCATCTGTACATATATGTACACACACATGTATATATACACATATATATACATATATACACACACACACAGATATATCTATATATATCTGTGTGTGTGTGTTCCTGGACATTCTATTTTGTTCTTCTGAGCCAGTGTTATCTCTACACCAGCATTACACATTATATAGCTTTTAAAATCTGATCACATAACACCCCTATCTAAAAACCCTTCAATTATCCATTTTCGTTGGGATAAGTTTGAAGTCCAAACTAACTTATAAGGCAAATAGTTTGGCCTTCTAGATTGCTTTATGATGTGTATTAGTATCCGTTAGGGCAAAGCTCATTATTATTCTTTTTAAAATTGTATTGGCTAGTTTTACCCGTTTATTTTTTCAGGTGAGTTTGAGAATGGGATTGTGATTGGCATTGTATTAAATTTCTAAGTTGAAACTAGAACTGGCATCTTTGTAGTTTTTTATTCTATTCAGTGCTGTGGGGTGTCTCCTCATATCTTCTGCTCTCTTCTATGTCTGTGAGTAAACTCTGTGGTTTTCTCCCCTCTTCATGTTGGATGCTGCCTCTGCCCCTCTGGGTCTTTTGCCTCAGGAAAGGCTGCTCCATGTTCAGATCACCTCTTTACCTTGTCCTGTTTCTACACTTTTAGGAAGAATCTCGGGGAAATCAATTTTGTCCCCATTTCTCAAGAGCAGTGACATTATCTCCCTGTGCCATACAGCACCTGTGCCACTCCTTTCCTTTATCCTGGGGCAGTTCCACTTTAGGCTCAGCCTGTTTTCTATGGTCACTGCTCTTTCTGGATCCTTGTCTTTGTCGTGATGCATTTTTGAAAGATTTTTATCTTTAGTAATCAAATATCTGGTCAAACTTAGCTATCTCTTAGAAATTTTTCAGTTCATAACAGTATTCCCACCTCAAGACTTATACTCAAGATTGGCATTCATCTTTTGCTTATTAGTGGGAGAAAATGTACCTTTTTTTTTTTAAAACCAGTGCTTCTCAAACTTTAATTCTAATATAAATCACCTGGGGATCTTGGTAAACTACATATTCTGATTCACTAGGTCTGGGGTGGGGCCCAAGATTCTGCACTTCTGACAAGCTCCCTGGGGATGCCCATGCATCTGACCTTTGGATCATTCTTTGAGTAATAGGATTTTAGGAGACATGATCCATGACCACTGGCTTGCCCTGTGGCTTCCACATCTATAAATTGAGGGTGTAGAATTACAGAATTAGATCTCAGTTTGGAAGGGACTTAGTTATCTAAACTAACCACCAAACTAGTGTATGGATCCTGTTTATAATATCCATACAGTGTTGATCACATTTTTTGAAACATAAATGGAATCATGTATTGTTCTGAAACTTCTTTTTCTCATTTGATAATATGTCTTGTGGAGAATCAATAAACTTTGAAATAATTCCTTGTAATAAGTTGATAGTATTCCATTTGTGTGACTGTAGCATAATTTGATTAACATACTTCTTTGGTGGACATTTAGATTTTTTTCAACTTTATTGACATTACAGGCAATGCTGTATTCCAGTCCATATATCTTTTTGCACATTTGCAAGCATATTCATTGGCTAGATTCCAGATGTGGATTTACAAATAGTGTGCATGTTTTAAATTTTGATAGATGCTGACAAATTGCCATCTAAAAAGGTTTTAGCAATTTATAATCATACTGATAATATATGAGAGTGCCGTTTTCTGACATCCTCACCAACACTGCGTATTATCTATTTTGTATTTCTTCTGTGAAATTTCCTTTCATATCCATTGCCTTCATTTTTTTTTTTTAGTTGTGATGTTTGTCTTTTTCTTATTGACTTCTGGGAGTTCTTTATGTATTCTGGATATTAATCTTTTGTTGTATATGTTGCACCTATTTCCTCCCAGTTGTGTCTTGCTTCCTAGTTTTGCCTCAGTTTTTTGATCCTTAAAATTTGGGTAACAATACCTATCTTGAAAATTTTTAGTAAGAATTAATGAAATATTATATAAGTACTTAACATAGTGCCTGACATAATAAATGTTAGTTATTTTGTTAATAGCTTATGTATGTTAGCTTTTATTATTATTATAATTCTCTCCTCCCACACTTAGTCTCATCCCTAAAGGCTTACTGTTAATATCTTTCTATTCAGCCTCAGCTTTCATCACGAATTCATGTTCTTCCTGCTTACCTTTTCCTGGGTATGCTGAGTACCCGCTCTCGATACAGCCCCTCTTTCCCAGATGATCCTGGTTGGTTTTAGCTCTTTCAGCAGCCCCTGCAAGTCCATACCTAAAGTTACTGCACCATGTCTGTTTTGCTTTGCTTTATTTGCATTATCAAGCAATTTTAGGAAAAGCAAGCAAACGTCTATCTTGACTGATACTAAAGAGATTAACAGGAAAAGAAAATAATCACTTACTGAAATTGCCTTTTTCCACCTTAACCCTTTACTCTTGTTAAATGCTACTTGGGACTTGCATAGTTAGGCAGAGTCTCACAGGCCGGAGCTTGGGGCCTCTTCAGAGAGAAAGGGTGCAAGGATAGCAGTGCTAGGCTTGTCTTATAGCATGTTGATGAACCCTGTACAGAAATTCAGACACTGACTTCTACGGAAAAAATTGCAAGTCTTTTGGGGAAGTGGAAAATTTCTGAAATTTTATTTAAAAAGCTGTCAATATATTTGTTTCAATGATTGCTTACTTAAATATTCTTTCAAAGTATATCTTTTTAAAAGCTGCTCTGGGATGTTAGATTTATCCTGGTTAATTTACACCTCACATATTTTTTATGTATTTTTTTTCATTTTGAAGTGGCATGCAATGTTGAATTCATATAATTGCAAAGTATATAGTTTATGTTTTATAATCCTATTACAATTAAAATAATTTTATGGTTAATAAGTATTTAACATGATATTGAAAAAGATTTGGAAATGATTTTTAATATGAATGGTTAAACTGTTAAAAGTTAATGAATTTACAAATAATCTACTCAGTAGTTTTAAAATATGTTCATTCATTGATTTACTCATAAAACATTTTTTGAGTGGGTGCCGTGTACCAGTTCTGGGCCTTAGCTATTAAGACTGCAAATGTGAAGAACATATAGACTCAGGGTGCTCACAATCTGATGCTGTTTAAGGAGATACAGAGACTAAGAACCTAATCTGAGCAATGTACAGAACCTAATCTAAAAGACGATGGATCCCTCCCAGGTTGAGGTGGGTGCCATGCCCCTCTCAGAGCTCGGAGCTCCTAACACTGTTACTTTCAGGGGTGGTTGAAGAGGGGATCTAGGAGAGATTAGCAGAGAAAGGGATGGAAGAAAGAGGGTGCCCTCCGTGATTGAAGAGGTGAGGGTTTTCCCAAGGAGTTCATATTTGAAGAGGAGAAGGAAAGGATAGGCCACCATTTTGATAAATATTTGCAGAATATTAACAAAACTCATATACTAAAATTATTTCAAGCTAAATTTTACGAGTTGCTAAGTTATTAAAATCTCTTTCTTCCCCAAAAACAACTACCATATTTTGGAAAGTGTTTACTGAAAATTAATCATGTTGACTCATGTTTGACGTTAAAATATTTTAAATAATCAGTTTTAAATATGTATCCAGTTGTGGATGCCTCTTATCTGATGAGTTCATCTCCTCCGCAGTTTCGGTGTCTGAACTGCTCAGCTTCGCAAGTCTGCTCTCAGGATGGCCCTTTATATCAGGTAAGAGGCACTCACGACGGTACATATGACCCTAATGATGCCCACCATCATGGGGATTGCTTCATCCCAGACTCAAGTTCCAATGACATGTAACTTTGCAAAACTAGTATTTATTGGAGCTACAAAACTTCATCTTTTCTAGTCCCCAAAGTTTCCCACTATTTTAGTTGTCTTGAATTATCTATTTAATTTTACTGAACTAAAAATGAAATTATAAATGTTAAGACCATTATTTGTGAGTCAGAAATTGTTAATAATTATGAGTTTCAGCCCTTGAGAAATCTCTGCTCCTTACCGAACACTTCTTTGTATAAGTGTTTTGTTTTTTTTTAATTAGTCATTCACCCACAAGTGAAAGGTAAAATATGCCCGACTAGGTGAAGCTAACTTACGGCAATAGCTCACTGTAATTGTGAGCTTGCTTAATAGGCCCTGCCCTGTGCACTTGAATGGGGTTAATTACTCTTTTAATACAGAAATGAGTTAAGTGAACTAACTTAATAATGCACCCAGAAAACTTGAACATGGATCTGAGGAAAGTTTATCTAATAAAAATATGTTGTAAATGTTCAAAAACAGGAGAGACTAAGTGTAGTATAGTAAGGATTACTGTTGAGTACAGAGATGATCTGTGATCAACCTTAATCCATATATTAATTATAGCAGTTCTTAAAAATCTGCATTGTTCTTTTATCCCAGAAATTAGCCTTCATCCTTGTTTCCTTGAAGCCAAGAAAAGAGAATTGTAATCATATAACTAATAACTAGCAAACTTACTCCAAAGTTGCAGTTTTAGGGTTGGGGTGAACACGCAAATGAATGTGTGCTAAGTATTAAAAGAACCACTTCAGATCATTAATCAAAAATGTTAAATTAGCAGTTTACCCAGAATTTCCCTCAGTCTTATTGTCAGTGCTGTGATATGGACATCCCCACACCCGTCATTAAAATGTGTGCTTTTTAGTATACACTGGTTAAGTCCTGATTTTTTTAGCAATGGAGTAAGCAAATTTAACAATTTTAAAGGCCGAGAGAAAATCATTCAGGGAAAAAAAAGTCATCCTCTTTACATTATGCAGTTAAGGGTGAGGAGTGAGTAAATAATTTAACTGAGCTGGTAAGATTTGTATGTATCTGAAGTGTTTAGATGTTTCATGCTTTTAGCCTCACAGCTGGTTTGGGGATAATGAATTGTAATGCTTCCCTTGCCTTTAGCTGTAACTCATTTGTACATGGTTCTTTGCTTATGCTCTTGGCACTGATGTCTGCTTATTTCCTTAGAAATAAAGATGTTCTTAAACTCTTATCTAAAGTATTAGAGAACAACTGGAATAAGGCCAAATTTTCAAAAATCCACACAAATTTTCCTTTCTTTATTCAACACTTCATTATAGATTATAGTCCTGTCAGAAAGTTGAACTTGTCATTGATAAGATGTACCTTTAGTCAAAAATTACCTAGAAAATTTTGAGGAAAAAATTAACACTTTTTTATTATAAGAAAATATTATGTATATAATGCTATTAACTTTTAAATTTTGTGAAAATTCCCTGAAATGGACAGTTTTCTAGGAAAATACCAATGGAATAAAATTTACCCAAGAAGAAAGAAAACTTAAATCACTGAGTCAGGAAGGACATAAAAAAAATTACTAAAGAATTACTTCCCTTTTTCAAAGGATACCTAAATAGTTTTATGGTCACATTCTCTCAAACTTTCAAGGAATAGATCATTCCTATTGCAAATTGTTTTAAATTATTGAAAAAGATGGAATTCTTCCAAATCCATTTTACAAAGGTAACATAATCTTGATAGCAAAAACTGACTCCAATTAGAAAACTAGTATCAAATCTCATTTTGAACATAAATACAAAGAAATAATATACTAAAGGAATAATAAACCAAGACCAAATAGTATTTTTATCAGAAATGCAAGAATGGCTTAATATTGGGGGGGAGGGAAGTTATATATATATATGTATGTATATATATATTACATATATATAGATATAATATATATCTAATATATATGTAATATATTAGAAACATTTTATACACACACACTAAGTCAAATAAAAATCATCAGTAGATGCTGAAAGGGCATTTGATAAACTTTAATGTTAAGTCCTAATTTTTCCTACCAGCTTCTTATTTTGAAAATTTTCAAAACAAAAAAGTTGAAAGAACAATACAAAGGAAGATTTTTTACTTTTACTTACAGTTACCAGTTAACATTTTGCTACATATTCTGCTTCCTCTTTCCCTCTCTTCCTCTTCCCCTCTCCTTATCTTATTAATCTCTTTGTAAATGTATCTGTTGTTTCTTTGTGGAATTATGGGAAAGTAAATTGCAAGAATCAGGACAGTTGACCACTAAGTCCTTCAGCATATATTTCCTAAGATCAAAGACCTTCTCATATATAACCAAAACACCACGTCACGCACCAGAACTTTAAATAGGATATTAAATATTATAGAGAGATCAATTATCCCCTTAATTAAATTATGAAGCTTAACATAGTTCCAAACACACTTTTACCAGATTCTTATTTAACTGGACAAAGTCGGTCATTCTAAAGTTCATCAGGAAATATGAACTAGTGCTCCTGGTCAGCCACATTTTTAAACGAGTAGTTGGGGGCATGTGCACTGCCACATACAAAATGTATTCTAAAGCTGAAGTAATTAAAATAGGGTTCTAACTTAAACAAAGACTTGTCAATAAAAAGAATAGCTCAGGAACAGACTCTAGTATGTGTGAATCTACAAAGAGTATTTCAAATCAGTGGAGGAAAAAAATATTCGTTTACCAAACATCCATTGAGCGCTTAGCTGTGCACTGGGCACTTTGTTAGGCCCATGGGACACAGAAGTAAAAATGAACAAAATTCTTTGCCCTCATGGAGCTTACACTCTAATGATGGTAACAGGAGAAAAATGAGTAAAATGTGTAGTGTTAGAAGAAAAATTAAAGTAATTAGAGTATTTTAGATAACTAGCCAAGGGAAGACCTCTGGAGGTGGTGATTTTTGATCAAAAAGAAGTGAGAGAAATAGCACGTGTCTATCAGGAGTAGGCGCTCCAGGCGGAGGGGACACGATGCAAAGATCCGAGGAGTGGTCCTGTCTCGTTGTTTGTGGACTGCTGGAAGAGACAGGAGTTGGCAGGGGGAGTTGGTGAACTCAGAGCATAGACGTTGGGGCTGGGTGTGATCTAGTAGGTTTGTTTTCAGTAAACTGTACTGAGACTACTGGGGTAGTGAAGGGGGGGTTTCAATCCATACCTCACATTATATGAGTTCTCATGGCTCACAAAGGGAAATGTTAAAAATCATACCAGCTGGGCCGCCCGGCTGCACAGCGGTTAAGTTCGCACGTTCCGCTTCGGCGGCGTGGGGTTCACCGGTTCCGATCCCGGGTGTGAAACTGGCACCACGTGTCAAGCCATGCTGTGGTGGACGTCCCACATATAAAATAGAGGAAAATGGGCACGGATGTTAGCTCAGGGCCAGTCTTCCTCAGCAAAAAGAGGAGGATTGGCGGCAGATGTTAGCTCGGGGCTAATCTTCCTCAAAAAAAAAAGAAGAAAACATAGTTGAATAATCTCAAAGTGGGAATGGCCTTTCTCACTGTGTATGTAAAAGGGAAAAGAAGACAAACTGAGTTGACCGTTAATATTGAAAAGTACATAGCAAAAATACCATAACTAAGGAAATGTTTGCAATGTATGACAGGACGCTTTAATGTCCTTAATGCATAAAGAATTCATACAAATCTCTAAGACAAAGTTCAACTTTCCATAGAAAAATCAGCAAAAGACGTGGTTAGGCAAGTCACAAAAGAAGGAAACAAAACTGGCTAATAAGCATACAAAAATGGTTAACTTCTTTAGAAGTCAAGAAATGAAAGAAGAAATAAAACGCTATTTCATGCTTATTAAATTGCCATATTAAGAGGAAAGAAAGGATAGTACTCGTTATTGATGAGGTTATTGATGAGGCTATTGAAGAATGAGCTTTTATATTTCCTTTGGAGTAAAAATAGAACTTTTTAAAAGTCCAGTGTGACAGTATTTATCAAAAAGCCTTTTAAAATGTGTTTGCTGTTGGGACCAGCAGTTCCACTTCTAGGAACCAACCCTGGGAGGGGTGGGGAGTGGAGAATAGATCATTGGGTGAAGATTATTTGTAATAGCAAAAAAAGAGAAAAAGAAAGAAACTAAAATACACTGCAAAAGATTTATTAACAACTTATGATTCACTTCTATACATTATATACAGCCTTTAAAAATAATGTTGGGCCATATTAAATAGTATAGAAATAAATTTATGGAATTTTTAAATGGATAAAAGTATTTAACAAGCAATATGTGTAGCTGATTCCAGTTTTGAAAAAAAAAATACGTACATAGACAAAAAGACTAGAAGGACATACACTAAAATGATTATGGTGGTTAACTTTGGATGGTGGGATTTAAATGATTTTTCTTTTTTCTTGGTGCTTTTCTGTATTTTCCAAATCTACAGTAAAACCAACTTACCTTTGCTTTTTAAGAAAAACTGTACATCAGTCAGTGTTACCATTTTCTAAAGTTATCACATTTGAAATATATACTTTATATACTTTAGAATTATCTGTTCTTTATTTTAGTACATGATGAGACTGAGGACTGGAAACTCACAAAATGCGGGTCCATTCAGTGCACTCACTCAACACTCAGAGGAGTGAGATGCCGTATTTCATTATAGTGAGTGCACTGCCATTTTATCTCAGAAAGCAGGCTGAAACCCAAATAGAACTTAAAGTTATCTTCACAATTTCCAGTATTCTAACTCATTCCAATAAAATTATTAAACTTTATATGTATCATAGAACAAACACAAATGATTACTTGGAGGGGAAAACAAAACCATTTTCAGCCAAAAACTGGGGAATCCCAATCAATGATAACCAAGCCATTTTGCCTCGCTCACTACCTTCATCCTAGTAGAACTGGTGATGGATTCTTGTCTATATCATGAATGGATTATAGAAGGAGTGACTTAATTATTTTCAGAAAGTGTGCAGATTCAGCAGAGTCAGGAATGAAAAGCAAAGCTGGAAAGATTGTTATCCTGCAGAGCACGCCGTGGGCTGGGGTTGGGTAGAAAGGAAATGAGTGAAATTAGGGTGGACTGTCTAGGTAACAGTCTCGAAATCTGGCTGAGCTCTGGAAAACCCAGGGAGTTTTGTAAAATACAGATTTCTGTGCTACATTCCCAGATACTCTGATTCACAGGGAACACAATAAAGTTTAAAATAAAAAACAAGTAAACAAAATTTCAACCAAAATAGATTTAGACCATGGAAACCCTGAGAGACTGAGAATTTTAATCCAGCCCTTAGAAAACTGGCAGTGACATCACCTACTTCTTCAACTGGAAGAGCAAGACGTAGGGATTGTCATTCCTACCCTCCAGTCCCTTGCTGAGCTGAAGGAAGAGAGACTTCAACACTGGGTCTCCTCCGTTTGTGATATGTAACTTAGCTGTGATAGTACAGAAACGGTTATTCTCAGTCTATCCCTCTCGTCTATGTGAAAGCATACACAGTTCTCTGTACTGGATTTTTGTGTTCACCCTCACTAAGATGAAGGGGAAACAGCGGCCACTTCAGCCCTTTCTTGGTTTCATGAAAATAGCTCCTCAAAATTTCATTTTAAAAAGGGAAATCTGCAGCTTTAAGAAAAGGAAAACCAGTAGTTCCCCAGACCCTTTCTGACTTTGTGATGTTAGGGTTCTATGTGATATGATAAAATAGAGGGTAAAAACAGATGCAGAAGTAGTCGTGTGGCATACGCCTTTTATCCGCAGAAGCTGTTTCCTCCCCAGTACCGTTTGTTGATGTCTGTTACCTTTTCTGCATAAAGCAACATGAAGGACGATCTGAACCATTCAATTATATAATAGTCAAATCAAATATTTAATAGTGCTAACTGACTGTTGAAAGGAGGCAGTAACCTACATGTTTCATGTAACTATTAGCTACTTGCTTTTCAACATTTTTTAAAGGACCATTAAAATAAATTTTAAATGCTACAAAGAAAAATAGTGTCAAACTTACTAAAAACTGTGATTTGTGAAAACCTCTCCAGTTTCATAAATTCATAGCAGGAGGTCTCTGTTAATTTGTGACTCAGTGGGCCCTCACACACAGCAGCTCTCATGGAATCCAGCCTGCAGACCTGTCTTGTTCAGCCTCACAGGGTTAACGACTGAAATACCATTAAGCATTCAGTCCTCCACAGGCCCTGCATCTAAGTGTTATATTAGTACTATTCACATGTGCAACCAGTATGACATCTTTAGGCCTTTGAACTTGACCTTTGTTGCATAGAATGGAAAACTTGACTGAGTGTAGAAAAATAATGGCAATTTAAAAGCAGTGTTTTAATAATATTTACAATCTTAATTGTCATAATCATTAGTACCAGAAAACATTGTAAATTATAATCCCAGATTCTTAAAGCCTTTATATGTTATCTGTGTTGTTTGATATAAACACAGACTTATTCATCATCTGTTTTTATTTTATAGTCATACCCCATGGTATTGCAGTATCGACCGAGAATTGATTTTGGTTAGACCAAGGGCCCTAGATGCCACTGAGATGAATCCTGCGCTGTTTGTTGACTCATCGGCAGATTGCACAGGGACCGGTGTGTGGACCAGAGGGACACAACCAGATTTCTCAGCATGCAAATAAGGCCATTGTCTGTCTCTAAATTGTCAGTTGCATTTATGTTGTTTCTATTAAGAGCAAACCAAGTGCCATTCTGCTACTGAACCATCTGCATAAGGTATCTGTGGTGTCTCACAGTGTACAATACACGTCACGGTGGAAACAAGTTAGCTGTGCAGCCATGATTCGGCCTTTGGAATATTTTGCTTGCCTGTTCCAAGATTGTTCTAATGTTTAATTACACTAGTAATATGGCTCAATCTTTGTGGTGTTGCAGTTTTTACATACTTACTGTTTTATTAATTCTTGTTTAAATAGAGTACTGTACAAGAAACAATTATTATATCTCGAAATTATTTTGTATGGGAAGTGTATCTAGAAAAGTGGTTTTTGAGCCACTGTCCTGTTCTTGGTAAGCTTTTTGTGTGCAAAATAGTTCACTCTTGAGTGTGCAAGTCCTTTTGGGAAGAATTCCAATTATTCTTTAACATTAGAGCACATTATAATTGTAGACATTTTGTCATATGTCTGTGTAGTCTACCAATTGCACAAGGAAGGCAGATTAGCCCTCCAGATCAAAAACGTATGTGACTTCTTAGAGAGCTGAAGTTAGATTCACAACCATTCAAAATGTTGGCAGCTGATCACATTTACTTCTAACAAAATTAATGTGTAAGTAAGGTTAATCTTCTTTCATAATGCCTTATGACAAGCGGGTGCTGCTTCATGAAATGTCATTGTATGCCCATTTTATGTATGCATCATTTTATTGTCACCCTCATTCAATGAGTACATGGTTTCTCTTTTTAAGTTGGCCTTAGGTGTGTGTCATTTGGCATGCAGAGGATTTTGATGATTTTAAAGATTAGGATTTTTAGAGCAGATAACATTAGCTATTTTATGTATTTCAAAAATTTCAAAGCAATTGTAGATTAAAATTGTCACCTATCACATTTCCAAACCATATGCATAAAATAGAATAAATGCAGTGTAGTAGATAAATACGCTAACCAAAATTAATGGTTTGAGGATATTTCATTTTAGATCCTGTAGTAATCAGGGGGAATGGGATTACCGTTTTATACATAAATTCCGTTAAGGTCTGAGCTGTGACAGTGTCTCTGATTTGGTGGTTCTGTTAAGTCTTCCATTCATTTTGAGATTAGTCCGCAAGTCAAAGAATGTCTTGTTATCTTAAATTATATGAAGAACTTCATTTTAAACCTTTTAAAATTTACACTTGTTTTAAAAAATCTTCTTTGAAAATTAAGTTTTATTAATTGCTTCAAAATAAGTTAGCCTCAAACTTAGGAAAAAATCTTGAGTGTTAGGACAAATATTTGTTTTAGAAGTCTGACATGAGCACAATCTGTGTGTTACACACATGGTTTTTATACTGTATACATGTAGACGTGCTGCATTTTCCAGTAAAATGTATCACAAATTAATGCCTTCTGAATCTCAAAATGTACAACTCTAAGAAACAGTACAAAATACAGCTAAATTTTGATGCATTTCACAATATAAGAGGCTGAAACTTCATAATTATCTTTTCCGTCTATCTTTGTTTCAAGTAAAAAAGTTTATATTAAAGTTTTCTGTTGTTTTTGTTCTGACTTGTGAAAAAGGTTATGGCAATACTTTCTTGTTTCATTTTGTTAGATTGTGTTTGTGCTCGCAAGGGCTCATAAGCAGAATTTCAAAGGCAGATTTTTGTGAACTCTTTAAATGGTTGGAACAGACCATTACACTCAACCAAAAACTGAATTGACTCTAACTACAGAAATTATTTTGTCATGCTGTGAAATACAATTCCCTGACATCCCTAACAAACTGTAAAATTTATTATAAATTTGTCACATCAAGGTCAGTAATTAAAATAATGTTTTACATACAGAAGTTAATTTTAATTAACTTAACTCAGATTGAATTGAGAGTGCATTTTAAAAACCACAAATGAGACCTGGATGTTTTTGGGTCCCCAGCCAAAACGTACAGCCTTAAATGAGTTTTATATTCAAGATCTCTTTAAATTTGGCCTGTTGCCTCATCATATGTAATTTCACTATTTTCCAAGGAAATATATAGGAAGCAGTTATGGAATTGAGAATAGTTTTATATAAAATTCCTTTATTAATGTTAATGTATTAACATTTTTATTGAAATGCAATGGAATATGTGCCAAAACGTGAAAACTTACAGAGAGAAGGGCATCCAGTTGTCCTTTGGGGAAAGGTACACATTTTATGATGGTCCTGAGTAATCCGGTGTTACTATTAGAACCACAGACTTCTTCAACCAACCTCTTTTGGTGTATTCAACTATCATTTTCTAAGTATGGGACTACTTTCGTGTCGAGTAATACACTAAATCCCCAGTTAATTATTCCCTAAGTCAGGATGTGGAATTTGTAAGAAACCAGGTATAGAAAAAATATACAGGCAACTTTTGTGGTTAGCTTTATAAACTTAGGGTGCTAATAAAACATTCTTTATCTCAATAACCTATGGGAATAATCCTCTGAATCTGCAAAATTGGAGAATAAAAATAAAATTAAGTTTTTCTTTAGCCTGTTGTTCTTAAGCAATACACTGAAAGACCTTTACTTCCGTAAAAGATTTTGTTATCTGTTTTCTCTGCCTTGGATATCATAGATGTAAATGGATCAAGGAACTTTGGATATAAACGCCACCTGTGGTTTATACTCATCACCTTAACTGAAGTCATCATGTTAGTTAACAGAAAAATCAGAATATGGCCTTTTCTATAGATTAACAAAATACTTTAAATATAAAAAAATAAACTAAAAGACTCATTAACGAGGCGATAATTAGGTCATTCATTCTGGGGTGCAGGTACCTTGGGTAATATCTTTTAACTACTTTTAGAAAAGTATATTATGTCTTTATTCATGGAAAATCTGTCCCATACTAATATGCAACATTTTATAAATTTAATGAGTTTGCTCAACTATATTATACACTCAAGTGGAATCTAAATTTAAATGATTCTTTAAGGGGAAAAAAGTGTGTTATATACTATTGTGAACTGTTTAGCTTTATTGAAATATTTAAGAGAAAGTGCCTCATTGCTAAAGTGCATTTCTGTTTTAGATTTATTGCATACATTGAGTTATCTGTACCTGTCTCTTATGAATGGTTTCGTATCTAAATAGGCACTCATAAGAGTAATCTCTTTTTGAAAGATTTTCATAAGAAAATAGATATCGCCAAAGATATTTTACTGTTAATTAATAACCATGTTGGAGAGACAGTTTTAACAGTTTGGAAGTTGGAAATTTTTAGATTGCAATTTAATTTTATATAGTTAGGCAATAACCTTGATTAATAGCAAAACTATCACCAAAGAAAGGCTTTAAACTGAATTATCACAGATCAGTCAAATGCAGGTTTTTCTTGCAGTAATCAGAGTACAGTTCCTTTCAAATATGTTCATTGTTTTTCAGAACCATCTGACAGATTTTAGGAAATCCTCAAAGGTGAGAGAGATAAACACAACAAATAGCCTCCTTCTGGATGAAAAGCGCGAGAAATACATACTTTGAGAAGAAAATTGAAATTGAGGTTTTAAATTCTAATTTGAGAAGCTTTTTATTCCATGGAGGCAGTATAAACTAAAATTATGCTTATTTAGTTTCCTGAGTTCTCTGTAATATGGGAAATTTTGTTAAAGACAGACCTTGGGAAAAGTGCCGACATGCTTACTTGTATAGAAAATAGTATATTCTATTGGACTTACATAAGTAAGTGCTTTTTCTGTAATTAAAACAAAATTTTCATGAAAGCCTGTTTTTCTTCCCTTAAAAAGTAACTCTGTCTTGTTTCTCAGCAATGGCTTTATTGTCATTAGCATTTAGCCATACAGCCAAATCTGGCAAAATGGGTCCCAGATCAAGAGCATATACATCAAGTTAAGCACTCTCCCTACACCGTTCCCTTTGGGCGCTCCTGGAGTGGGCACCTTAAAGGTGAAGCGCATGTTGTGAAGTCTTTATGATGGTGAGCCTCCTTGTGTAGGATAAAACTCTATGACATGCTCTGGTTTATCAGAAGGAAGTTTTCAGCAGGCTGTTTTATACCAGTAAGACGTTGGTTGGTTGTAAGAATTACAAAAATGAATGAGTTTGCCATACTTTAATTTTCTGGATTAGAAACACAAAAACGTGAAATGCTATTATTATTTTAAGATATATATCCCTGCAATAAGGAGCATAACATGTTCCAGATCTAGTTTATGAAAAATTGAAAGATACGCTAGAGACTCAGAAACCCTTTCAAAGCACAAAATAACCAGCTGTTTCTGGATTTGCTTGATGGGCCTAGTTCACTAGTATTTTAATGGAAAAACATCAGATTGAAAATTCATTAAAATGTGTTTAAATATACATTACAGGGTTTTCATAATTTTCTTTTTCTTAAAGCAATGGCATTTTCCCAAAAATTTAAAGTGATTCTCTTCCTAGTGTAATGTAGTTTTCACAAATAGTGTGTTTACTTGCTGTCCTTACTATATTTTCAAATAGAATCAAAATGCTTGAGCACTTCCTTTTCAGAAAGTTATGAAATTAAACTTATTATTTTAAATGCTCACTAAAATGTGTCTGTACTCATTATGCCTTTTCTAGGATTCGAAACCAAGACATTGTTCAGAAATGCTTTTTAATTTTAATTATCTTTAAATCTAGAATCAAGCGAAACAGATATACGTTAAATACCGGTCTAGTTTTCTTCCATCTCTCAGAGCTTCATGGAATAAGAAACTGATCTAGTACAAGTGAATATTGGACATTTCTGGGCAATCTGGAGATAGTAAACAGATCATTTCTCCGTAGACTTCCCATCAGTCCACTGGCACAGGAGTTCTACACATTAAAAGTGTAATGGGATCAGCCTAACATTGTTTGGGGTCGGTTTTCTTTTGCTGTATTTTTTAGAACGGGGTTGGGGGCCTAAGTGTCCTTATGAAGCTGTGGTCCACGACAAGAGCTTGTGGGGGGAGCGCCAGTCTTCTGCGTTCCTGCATCTGGCAACACAACAGCAAGCATCCGTTTTAATAGAGTCGCCCTCACATTAAATAAAACCATCATAGAGTATATTGTACAGTTATGTTGCTAATTTTCCTTTGAAATATAAAATATTTTAAGCTTTTTTTGTCAAAAGTGGTAACATCTTAATACAAATAAAAACCTTTTTGTGGTTGTAAGATTTAGCTTATAAATCATTCAAATTGAAGTGAAAGAATTACCAGGTCATTGTTAATGACTTAGTCTATTAAGAATATATGTATTTTTGTAAAGGAAAAGCACTTGTAGATATTTAATCAGTACAAGATATATGTCTGTTTTGCAGAAATAAAATGCTGCTTAGAGATTCTCTTTAAATGTTTTTTATTTTTGTGCTCAAATGTATTTTCTGTTGATCTGTGGAATGTTCTGTACAAAGCTGTATGGTTGTACTGTTTGGCTAGATACTTTTGTTTTTTAAAATCTGGACTTAGCCAAGTATATTTGACCATGTTAAAAACAGTATCTTTGTTATTAAAAATTTGATTGCATAATTTGCTGTCTCCTGTGATCCTTAATATTAGTAGTTACAGATTGCAGCCTCTATTAAAGTGTCTCTGTTAAGTACTGCTGTAGCAAATTTTAGTGAAGTTTTTGACTATTTGAGATCAACCATTTTCTGAAGATTCTTGAGCTGTTTAGTTAAGATGGCAGACTGCCCCTCAAATAATACTCGAGGTGGACACACACACACTTTAGAACAATTACTCATTTTGTTAATCAAATCCAAATAATCTCTTGAAAGTAATTGGGTATCAAAGAAAGGCCCAAGTGAGTTGAAAGAAAGATTGCTTCCTCCAGCCAGTTACATAACAGCCTTGTATTAGTAAGACTTTTCATGTACACTTGCCGCAGGAATTCTGGTTCAGCTAAAGTAGGACATTCAAGTCAGGAAAGCTCTGCCCCATTATGACTTTGATGCCTGAAGCTTTGCTTTATGTTAGTGATACCACGGAGGTGGCTAGAAACCCCAGGCATTCAGTGAGAGATGGAAAGCAGCATTTCTGAGCAGGATTTGACTCCTTCCATCTTTTAGCTTCATCTTCAAGGCTGCTGCAGAGTGGGAAAGAATATGGAGGTCTGTGCATGGGAAGTGCTCAGAAATGTAGCACACGTTACTTTTATCACATGGCATTGGCCAAAACTTACATGGCCTCACTTACCTGAGGTGAAGGGCTCAGGGAAGGCTGGAAGACATAGTCAAGCCATGCCCCAAGGAAAAGAAAACCAGTTTTGTGACCTGCTAATCAATCTGCCACAGCTCCACTTGAGAAAATGGGTCACAGTTTACCCAGTTCTTAGAAGAGTTTTTTCAACACGGGCTCAGCGGTGATCTTTTCACTGGTTTAGAAAGGTATGGAGGAGTCGCACTCCAGCTAGGCCTGAGAAGCTGGGGAGCTGGCCTCTGCTTTTTATGTGGCTGGGGAATTTGCAGACTGTTTTGCTGGAAGCCACATAGAACCCTGCTTGACACCCAAAACTCTGCCATGGGATTTGGGGTGCCAGAAGTGCCACAGTAACAATCAAATGAAGAATCATGCCCAGAAAGGACAAAGAGGCACCAAATGGTCACCAGCTCCCACCAGTGGAAGCCCCCTTCCTCCAAAGCCCAGTCCAGATCCCATCAACTCCAGCAGGTTTATCCCGACCCTCTCCCTCTTCTGTAACACTTTTATCACAACCACAACAACTGGAGTGCTGTGTCCTCCCATTAGATTACGAACTTTGAGAGGGTTGTTGACAGTCACTGTGGCATAGCCCAGCCCTCACATGGCATATTTACATACTGACACCGATAAAACCCTAGTGAAGAATCCAGATTTCAGAAAGCAGGGGTAATGCTGAGAGAATGGTCTCCAGCTGTTTCGTTAACAGTCTCCTGGCCTCATTCCTCTTCTTAAAATGACATCAGTCATATTGGATTAGAGCCCCACCCTTATAACTTCATTCAACCTTTATTACCTCTTTAAAAGCCCTATTAAAAAAAGTCACCTTCTAAGATCCTGAGGTTTGGGAGGACATTACTCAGTTCATAACAGCCGTATGGTGCCCCATCAACCTGGGCTCATGTGCAGGGTCATTCTGTTGTATAACTTGGGGAAATTAAGCTGGCTGAGTCTCAATTTCCTCATTGGTAAAGCAGGAAGAGTAATAACTTATAGGTTTGTGGAGGAAGGAGAGGCCATAGAAAGTGCTCAGAGCAAGAAAGAAGAAGAAATTAACAAAGGACAGTGCAATTGTTTTCCATCTCTATCTGATCATCTGCAAATGGCAACAGTGTAACATCAATGTTCTGATTTGCTGTGAGCTAAAATACTGTCAACTCAACTCTTGCTTGCTTAGAGCTATTCCAATAACATGGTAGCTCATAAAACTCATTCCCACTGAATATGCTTGGAGTCAGGTACCTGAGGGTTACTGTAAATATTCAGGAAGAACATGGTTTACCCTTCAAACTTGGTCCCAACACAGATACGGATGAAGTTAATCCAGGCATCGTTATTCGTTTGTTAATTTGCTGTTTTCTCATTTAAGCTGAGGGGTGACTCAAGGTTTGCAAGGATGTATGAGCTTGTTTTGCAGAAGAAAAAGAACGCCTTTAAGGAAGTTACGATCACCAGATAACCAGCCCCCAGCTGCCACTGGTGCCCAGAAGCCTGGTTGCCCAAGGGCTTATCTGGAGTGAAAGGAACACAGACTTCCCATTTTTTCTCCAAAACTGCTCCTCCCAAGCCCCTTAGCTCTAAAAAGACCCCCTGCTTTCTTCTTTTGTTGAGGCAGATTTGAGAGAACCTATCCTCCCACCTTCTTGTTTTGGCCAGTTCAAATTAACCTTTCTCTACCTCCAAGCACCAGTGTCTCAGTGATTGGCTTACTGCACATTGGGCACATGGACTTGAAATTAAGAGGTCCAGTTTCATGCCAATACATCAAGGACCCAGCACAGAGTCTAGCACATAGTAGGCACTTTACAAATGTCTTCCCTGTCTCTCACACTCAATCATCAGAACAGACCTATGAGGTAGGCATTCTTAGCCCAATTTTAATAATGTGAAAGCGAATCTAAACAACTCATAATCACCAAAGATGTATTTCAGTCTCCAACACAAGCCTTTCTTTTTCCAAGGGCAATTCTGTTCTCAGGGGCACTGGCTTTGGATCAGAGAGCTGAGAGATCTAGAGAAGATTGCACCCAGGCCCTCCTGGCTGCTCTACACTGGATTGCATAGAGGGTAAACACTTGGCAGCCAGTGTGCCTAAGATGACACAGCATGTATGTCCTTCCCATAGCCAACACATTGTTTTGAGCACCCTCTGTATACCAGGTACTGTGCCAGGCTCTAGGGAGACAGGTGGTGAACCAAACAGATTCCACCTTTACACTAATGGAGCCTCCAGGATGAGGAGGAGATAGACATTAACACACAATAAGCACATAATAAGAGTGGTAAGTGTTCTAAAGAAAATAAATTCTATGAGAAAGAATGGGAGGTCTAGACCTTTCTGAGAAAAGGACATTTAAATGAAGACCTGAAAGATAAGCTGGAGCTAGGCAGGTGAAGAGAAGAGGAAAGAACATTCCTGAAAAAAAAAAATAGGAGCAATTGGAGTTCAGTGTAGCCCAGCCACGTGTGGAAAGCCAGCGCAGCTGGGGGGTGACAAAGAGGAGGGCGATAGGAGAGGATTCTGGAGAAGACGGCAGATGCCAGAGCACCTAGACACGTTTAGGCCCAGTTTAAAAGCTTGTGTTTTATTCAGAGCACAGTAGAAAGATTTTAAACAGGGGATTGACATCAACTTGTTTATATTTTTAAGTTATTGTGGGAGCTGTGTGGAGAATAGATTGTAAGGGATTAGAGTCTAGAATAGAAATGGGAACAGGTGGGAAGCCTAGAAGAGTAGTCCAGGTAAGGAAAAACAGAAGGGTCCCAGACAGCATTGGTGGTCCTCAAGATGAACACAAGTGGCAGTGGAGAAAAGTAGGTTTCTTTGCACATATCACCCCCTACTCCAGCCGCAATGGGCCTAAATTCAATGTACTCTAAGTTTTTAGGTCATGGGTGAAGTTCTAGATGGGGGTAGGGAATTCAGACAGAAGGGTGGGAAGAAGCCACCGGACCTGAGAGAAGCAGCCACAGCCAAACTCCCACCACTTCCTTAGGAAACCTGGAGTGGGAGGGTGGCTAGAGCAGGGGAAGGGAGGCGAGCTCTGTTTGGAGCACGTGGGAGAAAGGATCCTGAAAACTCTTCTCCACCAGGCCCATCCTGATGACCAGGGCTCCCAGAGAATCTGCTGCCTTGCTGGTTGGAGCACCCAGCCTTGCCCAGCGAGGCCCCTCCTTATCCCTCCAGGCCTAGCCACCAGCACCTGCTCAGGGTGCCTTCTTCAGGAGCCACCCACTCTCCCTCTCCAGAAGTGGTCCTTGCCTGCTCTTCCTCCATAGCCCTTTCCACAGCCCAGTCTTGTCACAGGCGTTGGAGCCATACAGCCCTGGATCCCAGTCTGGGTTCTACCACCACTTAACTGAAGGATGGGTAGATTACCTCACATCTCCTCAATGGCGAATGAGACACTACTGTAAATGTAACGTAAACTAGCAGAACTCACGAGATGTAACTACAACACCTACTTATTTAATTTGTGTCTCTCACAGTCCCCTTCCAGTAGATGAAAACGTCAGCAGTCCCAGGTCTTCCTTAGCACATGAACTTACAAACCACCACCTCAATTCAGAAACCAGAATGTCTAGTCTAGAATATTAATCAACCCTTCAATATTCATTTCAAGGTTACACTCCTTCCCTAACTGGGGGCCTGGTAAAGGGTCATCTTCCTTCCAAAAATGGAGGGTGGTCAGTTTTCCTCCCTTCCCTCCCCTCCACCCTTTATGTACATGGTCAAGGAGGAGGGGAAGCAGAGTACAGCAGAGCAGGCTGTAGACCAGCTCCACGCTCTCTGGACCTGACCGATATGGAATGCCCCCCCTCTCTGGGCAGTCTTTCTGGGTTCCTTGGAGGATGCCCTCGTGGGCCCTTCAGCCGCTGCTCACCTTACCAGGAGCCATGCCTCTCTTTCAGAGGGCTGCTCCTGGTGACCCTCACAGGGTACAGCCCACAGCCTCTTACTGGAGTAAGGGTTCTCTCTTCCCACAGGCTGCCATCTTGTACAGAATCCCTTTTAAGTGCCTCCTAGCTAATATCCTTATTGCAGGTCCCTCCTGGGGTCCCCAAGTGTCATGCGACATTGACCCACTGTCAAAGACAGTCTATGTTTCTTATCAGCCCAGGAGCAACTCTCTCTCCCTCTGCCTGCCCTGAAGCCTCTAGCTGAGAGGCACAGCCTCTGGCCTGTAGATTCCTCTGGGGGTGCCGACTCCAGGCAACATGTCCCCATAGTCTCAGTAACACATATCAAGCTTTCCTGGGGTGCTGTTGAAGCCCCACTCGCACTAGACTTGCGGGGAGTGGCAGCACCCTCCAACCTCCACCTTGAG